ACCCTGGTCTCAAAAAAAAAGAAGAAAAAAAAAAAAGAGAATTAAAAAGAAAGAAACAAAAGGGAAGAAAGATATAACTGGTAGAAAGAAAAATGCTGGCAGGTTGAAAATACTGGGCTTTCCTCAATCAACTTTACTATTGCACCAAGGTCTCAACTGTTCGTTTTAATAAGAGAGGGACATTTACTGCCTGGGCAAGGTGGCGTGCATGCCTGTAGATCCTAGCACTGCCTTGGCGAGGCAGGCCAAGGCGGCGTGGATTGCCTGAGGCTTAGGAGTGTTCAAGCCAGGGCCTGGGAACACGTGTGAAATCCTTGTCTGCTACTAAAAAGTTAACAAAAATTAGCCGGGCGTGGCTTGGGCGTGACCTGTGTAATCCCAGCTACTCAGGAGCTGAGACAGGAAAATCGCGCCTGGAACCTGGGAGGAGGAGGGTTGCAGTGAGCCCAGGGAGATCACACTATTTGCACTGCGCAGCCATGGGTGACAGAGCGAGACTCAGTCTTCAAAAAAAAAAAAAAAAAGAAAAAAAAAAGGCCGCGCGTGGTGCTCATGCCTAATCCCAGCACCCCAGCACTTTGGGAGGTTGAGGTAGGCAGATCACGAGGTCAGGAGATCAAGACCATCCTGGCTAACACTGTGAAACCCCGTCTCTACTAAAAATATAAAAAATTAGCCAGGTGAGGTGGTGGGTGCCTGTAGTCCCAGCTACTCGGGAGGCTGAGGCAGAAGAATGGCGTGAACCTGCGAGGTAGAGTTTGCAGTGAGCCGAGATTGCGCCACTGCACTCCAGCCTGGGTGACAGAGCGAGACTCCATCTCAAAAAAAAAAGAAGGGAGGTTTACTATAAGTTGGAGGATAATTTTCTCTTCAGAGACACAAGAACTGCATATTCCTTCTCCAATCTCAAAAGAAATCTCAGAAACCTTCAGGAGATACAGAAGAGAGATATTATCAAGTATTAATAACAGTCATGAAACACAGCAGGACTTGAACTCTCAGACCAGAGCTTTGTCTGTCTGACCACATCCTTCCATAATGCTACCAACCAGCCAGGGATAAAGATGACATGGCTTCCAGCAGGTGTTTTTGGCAGATACGGAGAAGACCACCATCTCTTTCCCAGAACCCACTAATTGTTTTTTACTGTTGTTTTTTCAAATAAAGCATGACTTCCTTTTCCCAAGAAAATAGCATTCCCTTAACACAACCAACTCTTAGAAAATCATGAAATAGGCCGGGCGCGGTGGCTCAAGCCTGTAATCCCAGCACTTTGGGAGGCCGAGACGGGCGGATCACAAGGTCAGGAGATCCAGACCATCCTGGCGAACCCGGTGAAACCCTGTCTCTAAAAATACAAACATTAGCCAGGCATGGTGGCGGGTGCATGTAATCCCAGCTACTTGGGAGGCTAAGGCAGGAGAATCATTTAAGCCCGAGAAGCAGAGGCTGCAGTCAGCAGAGATTGAGCCACTGCACTCCAGCCTGGGAAACAGAGAGAAACCCTGTCTCAAAAACAAACAAACAAACAACAAAACAAAGCAAAGATGGGGGTCTCAGGTTATCTTCAGCCAACAGAATCAAGATAACAATCAGATCACAGTTTAAGAGAATCCAATCTTGCCAAACTTTTTGGAAAGCAGCAATCACATCTTTTACATCTGTATCTTATAAACATCACCAACATATGACTTTATCACCCAAGACACAATTACATATTTAATGAATTGAACAACAGTAGACTACGTACATATAGATTTTGCAGACAATGCTAGGGGTTCAAGTCTTATCCACAATCCATGTCTAACCTTCTAGTGGAGGGAAATGAAACAGACAAGAACTAAGAGTGGTGATAAATGGTGGGAATGAAGTAGAGAATTAGGATGGAGAGAATGGGTGTGGTGGCTCATGCCTGTAATTCCAGCACTTGACTCTTGGGCAGCGGCTCGAGGTGGGTGGATCACTTGAAGGTCAAGCGGACTGTGAGACCAGCCTCGGCCACAGTGATGAACCCCATCTCCTTACTAAAATACAAAAATTTAGCAAGGCATTGTGCGCACACGTCTGTAATCCCCAGCTACTCAGGAGGCTGAGGCAGGACGACCTCTGCCTGCTGCCGGCGCGCTGCGCCCGCTCGCAGCAAGACTGAGATCATCACAACCATAGCAAACTAGTACACTAAAGGAGAACAGAGCAAGACTCTGTCTCAACAAAAAAAAAAAAAAACAAAAAGATCAAACATAAATAATAGAGGGAGAGTAAAAGAAAAAAGGGCCAAATGTCAATAAAAAAAATTATTCCCAACCGAGAAATCAGAAGAAAAAAGAATTAGGACATGGCAGTGGGTGGCTCGTGCTGATACATACTACACTGTCAAGAGGCAGGGTGGTGGGTCCCTTGAGCTCAGGAGTTACAAGACTAGACCTGGCCAACATGGCAAAACCCCATCTCTAAAATAAAATAAAAAAAATTAGCAAGGATGTGGTGGACTAGGCAACTGTTAGATAAAACCCAGCTACTTGGCGAGGCTAGACGAAGCAGGAGAATCACTGAGTGCAAAAGTAAGTTGGGATTGCACCAACCAACAGTCCAGCCTGGGTGAACCAGTCAGAACCTCGTCTCAAAGGGAAAAAATAAAGCACGAAGGA